ATAATTATTATTTATAATATATATATATATATATATATGTGTGTGTGTGTGTGTGTGTGTGTATAATTATTTAAATATGTGAACATTTTACATTTGTTTAGTATATTTTTAAGATCTTATTATAGGGAGCCTTTGCCGTGACACATATGGTCCCACATATTTTAATGTCATAACAGTGGCATCTCAGTAGTACACAATCTTTTGAATTATTTTTAAACTGTTTCAGTGTTTCAAAGATTCAGTGGTTAAAGATTAAGAGATTTAATTTACATCAGTGAACCAACATTAGTCAGCAAGCACCTTCAGTTTTAATCTGAACATCTCTCTGCCATAAAAAAAAAATGCAGCAATGAGTTGACTCAACAACAACTAATATTACTGTCATATCGTCAAACTATTAACACACACACACACAAAAAAAGTACGTCAGCTGCAAATCATGCAAAGAGACTTTTTGGTGTATTGTATTTTAAGTATCCATATCAAATAGCAAATCCAGTGAGAAAACTATAAGAAGAAGATTGCATATAAATTACCCACTGATGGAAATAAACCAAAAAAATGTCCTGGGGCAGGCACCCTAAAAAATAATCTATATTGGCTTAAAGTGTTAATAGATGTGAGCTGTCATTGATAAATAAATAATTGCAAAGTTTAGATTTTATTTTTTATTATACTGACAATCATATTAAATAAATTCAAACACAATGCACATGAATACTAAATATTTACAAATATTCCGTTAAGCATATGAATATACTACATAAATGCTTTAAGCTGCCTGGCCCCAGTTGTTGGTCTCGGATTTTGTTTGCCATGCGCTCCCTTTTTTCTGGAGGTGACCAGCTCACACCTACATGGTCCTGTTGAAGGAACAGACATAAAGATGTAACACAGCAGATTTTTTGAGAAAATCTAAAGATATATTGCTTCTGCCATTTCAGTACTGTATGAGGGAGGTTTATGAATTGAAATGAATATACTTATCCCAGACTAACTTACATATTGAAATATAATACATACAGTTTTAAATAGCGAATTCGGAAAATAGAAGCTTTAGTGCATATGTTTTTAAATAATTCTAAGTAAAACTGTGGGATAGAAGGTACTAACCATCTTCAGGGTGAGCTGGGACATGGGCTGTGGGGCTTGATGGTTCTGCCTCCCCAGTTTAGGCTTCAGTGGCACCTTGTCGATTTCCACACAGAGTATTTTTTGCGGAGGCTCACACACATCTATATTGTCCTGTTGAAGAAACAGACATAACCATGAAATGCTGGGCAGGTTTAAGGAGTGCTTCTTAAATACAAAGATATATCTTTCTATCATTTGAAAAAATAAATTCATGTGATTTTAAATAAATGACCTAGAAAACATAGTTGCTTAGGTGAAGACAGTGTTTAATTTATCGAATAAATCTGAAAATAAGTAAAAATCAGAAATGGAAAGAACTTACTGATACCTTCTGCTGCCTCCGCTGTCTCCACTGCTCCCTCCGCTTCTGCTTCTGCTGCTCTGTGATTCTAGGGTTTGCTTCCTGTCGTGGGGAGCTTCTGGTCACAAGTGCTCCCTGTAAGGTCCCAGAATACACAGGCGCCACTTTTGAGGTCCTGGAGGGCATAGGTAATCCCTGGGTGGAAGAGACAGGCATGCTCAGATGCTCAGCAAGCCTCCGTTTTCCTGCCTTCATGGTTCTGTTGGGCACTGCTGCTTCCTTCAGACACCCAGTGGGCAGTGGAGAACTGGCAAGCACTCCTGCTCCCTGTGAGGTCCCGGTATGTACAGGGTTCCTATCAGGTAAAGGTGCTTCCTGTGGGGACTTGGAAGACACAGGTTTACCCTGCGCAGGAGAGGCTTGAGGCTTCTGCTGGAGCAGTTCCTTCCTCAGTGGCTCTGATATTTTGAGCCTTTGCCTCTCTGCAGCCTTTATGGGCACGGGTGCTCCCTTCTCAGAAGAGGCTCTGAGTGACACCTGCAGCAGCTCCTGCCTCAGCCGCTCAGGTATCTTAAGCCTCTGCTTCTCCTGGGTCTTTTGAGGCACAAGTTCTCCCTTCACAGATGAGTCTCGGTGCGACAGCTGCAGCAGCTCCTGCCTCAGCCGCTCAGGTATCTTGAGCCTCTGCCTCTCCTGGGTCTTTTGAGGCACAGGTGCTCCCTTCTCAGAAGAAGCTCTGGGTGACACCTGCAGCAGCTCCTGCCTCAGCCGCTCAGGTATCTTCTTCTCCTGGGTCTTTTGAGGCACAGGTGCTCCCTTCTCAGAAGAAGCTCTGGGTGACACCTGCAGCAGCTCCTGCCTCAGCCGCTCAGGTATCTTCTTCTCCTGGGTCTTTTGAGGCACAAGTTCTCCTTTCACAGATGAGGTGCGGTTCGACAGGTGCAGCAGCTCCTGCCTCAGCGGCTCAGGGATTTTGAACCTGTGCCTCTCTGGGGTCTTGTTGGGTATAGGTGCTCCCTTCTCAGAAGAGGCTTGAGGCTTCTGCTGCTGCAGCTCCTGCTTTAGTGGCTCAGGGATCTTTAAATTTTGCACCTTTGAGGCAGGCACAGGTTCTCTCTGTAGAGACTTTTTAGGCACTGGTGCTCCCTGTGGGGACCTATCAGGCACAAGTGCTCCCAGTTCATTAGCGGCCCGTAGCAGGTGCTGCCTCAGATGCTCAGGGATCCTGAGTTTTCCACGTTGTTGGAACCCAGTGGGCACAGGATGTCCCTGGGGGGAGCCCGCAGGCACCGGTGCTCCCTGAGGCTTCTTCCGTCGCCACTCTTGCCTCTCTTGCTTAGTGGTCTTCAGTGAGTTCCCACACTCAGCCTTCTCAGACCCAGCAAGGACAGGTGGTCCCTGAGGCTTCTTCTGCCTCCACTTCCTCTGTTGCTCTGTGGTCTTCAGCGTTGCATCTGAGAAGTCTGAGTGCAGAGACTCCGCCTTCTCCGATGCATTGTTGAAGACCAGGGATGAGGTGTGGTCCCTCTTCTCAGCATAGACAGGCACAGGTGCTCCCTTTTGGGACCTGGGAGGCATGGGTGCATTCTGTGTATTCTTCTGCCTCCACAGTTCCTTGGTATTCAGTGTTGCATCTGAGAAGCCTGAGTGCGGGGACTCAGCCTTCTCAGATTCATCACTGAAGACCAGGGATGGGGGGCATGGATTTTCTCCTGCCTTTATTGTTCCCCACCACTGCACTGAGGTGAGGTCCCCATATTCAGGCTCCTCAGATATAGGAGAGGAGACCTCCATTATTGCCCACCACCACCCTGCAGCAAGGGCAGTGGTGAGCTCATCTGAGAGCTCAGAAGATGAGGACTGCACTGCACTCTCAGGAAAACTGGTGGGGATGGTTGATATAGTCATGTTGATGTGTGATTCGATGGTGAAAGATTATCAAAGAAATGAACAATACTGCTTTTGTCTTTATATCTGTAAAACACTGTGGCAGAAAGAGAAAGGCAAGAGATATATAATAGTAAACATTTAAGAGCCTGGAAGTTGGTGATGTTAGATTTTTTTTTATTTACAGGTACAGTTTTCCAGTGTATGCCCATGCCCAGTGGGGGTCCACAAGTGGAGTTTTTATTAACATTATTTTACCAATTAATGTGCATAACTCAGATGCTTATAATGTAAATGAAAACATTAAACAAAAAATCTAATTCAGATGTAAAGAGCATACTCACGATCACTCGCCAAAACTCTCTACAAAATGCATGATGCATCTGCACTCATATTTATAGACTACTCACGAACGTTCTATGGAATGCAGCGATCATAATGACGTAACAATTGACTGCGCCCACTGGTCTCATTGGCTGAAAATTATCTTAAAAAGACACATCTGCTTTAAATATTAAAATTATTACAAACCATTATAGAAATAAAATGTTATCTATAAAAAATAGCTAGATTTATTGCAAAAATAATATAATAAGCGCTTGTATGACAGCAGAGCGCAACAGCCAGCGCATTAAGTTGTCTATAACTTACAGTATACTTTGCAACGCTGCAAATGGGGTGATTTTAGGTCATGCCCTTTGTCGGTATGACCGCTCGAACACGTCCGGTGACTTCACCGCCTGATGGCAGTTTGACGCCATTCTTCTGGCATGATTTGTTTAATTATTGACTATTTGAAAAATTTAGCACCGTCATATTTGCAAGAATGAAGATTGTCACATTTATCTTTAACAATATAAAAAGAATAGCAAGCACAACCATTAATATCTATGTACAATATCTATGTTTTATTTGATGTTTTATTATTATTATTACTGTTGTTGTTGTTGTTGTTGTTGTTATATACATTTATTATGAATGTGGGTTGGTCATAATAAATCAGGCAAAAATACTAAAATCCCACCACTGCACAAATTGATAAATGCCTAATGCTTCGCACTTTTACCAACTCAGTGTTCAGAGCTGTAGTGTATGACTGCCGTTTGGCTGGGAGAGCACACTCAGCCAGGGCTGTTCGAATCTGAAATTCGATTCTAAGAATCGATTCCTCACTGTTGTTTTCGATTCTTTTTCGATTCTTGTTTTTTTTAGATTGAAGGAACCTATAATCTCACCATGACTGCAGGATAAAGGTCGTAGAAAGTATCCTTCTCATAATATGAAGCTTTATTTGTAAAAAAAAAAATGACGATACATAAATTGTAATTTTGTCTGCTTTGCCCGTGAAACTAGTCATAGCCCACAGCTAGGGTTGCCAACTTCAACTTATATATATATTATACACACACACACACACACACACACACGCAGGTATATCTTTTAGATTTGTAATGTTTTTTAAATGGATTCTCTTATGCTCATCAATGCTGTATTTATTTGATCAAAAATACAGAAAAAAACAGTAATATTGTTAAATATTATTGCAATTTCTAGTATTGGTTTCCTATCTTAATTATTATACTTTAAAATATAATTTATTTCTGTGATGCAGCAGCACTGAATTTTCAGCATCATTACTCCAGTCCTCGGTGTCACATGATCCTTTTATAAATCATTCTTATTCTGATTTATTATCAGTGTTGAAACTGTTGTGCTGCTTAATATTTTTTTGGAACCTGTGTTCCATAAATAAAATAAAAAGTTAAAAAGAACAGAATTTATTAAAAATAGAAATCTTTTCTAACAATATCACTTTTTATCAATTTAACACATCCTAAAAGTATTCTAAAAGTTTCTTTTAAAAAAAAAGAAAAAAAGAAGAAGAAAAAAAAAAAGAAATTTAC